ACTGTCCCATCCCCCTTGCTGGCAGCCTTGCCTGAAAGAGCAACCCGGGGCCACCAGCTCCTGCTCTGACCTGTGGCCGGTGGCAGAGCCCTGCACACACACACGTCCATGTGGCTGTCTGCATTTAAGAAAAAAAAAAAAAAAAAAGTCCCCTCTAAAAAAGCAGCAAAAGGGGAGCACACACAGGTAAATGATTATTTACAGCTGCAGCGTGGGAAGCGTTACACAAGCGGAGGGTGGAGTGCGTTCCAGCGCCTGTCCAGGGCTGTGGGCAGAAAAGTCTATCACGGCTGTGTTGTTCCTACTCCCCCAAGACAGAGTTAATGCTGTTTACCTTGTAATAAGAATGCTATTTCTTGCCTTTTTTTTTTTTTTTCCCTTGGCTGAGCTTGTTTTCACGGCTCCCCTGCTGCTGTCCTGCTGGGGGAGCTGGCTCTGGAGGCAGGCAGGAGCGTGGGGCTGGGAACACCAGCATCCCTCCCCTCCCGCCTGCAGAACCGAGCTGTGCAGCTCTGAAATTAAAAATAACAGCCCTTGCCCTGCAGCAGGAGGTGAATCCATGGCAGGAGGAAACAAGAGGCAGCACTGGGCAGCTCTCAGATAGTTGAGTCTCTCCCAGGACAAAGGGAAGTAGGAAAGCTTGGCACGAGCTGCTGCGTGCTGTGCTTCCCTCCCTGCCTCCTGCAGCACAGCCTCAGCTCTCTTTTTATTTTTATTTTTTTTTCCCATGGAAAGCTGCTTGCAAACTGTAGGGCCTAGGTATGCTGGTTTTGTACCCCTCAGTCCTGGAGGTCATTGCTGGAAATGCCAATGTAGGTCCGTAGCTGTGATGTTTTGTTCTCAGCCCTGATGTGAAAACACCGCCCTTTTGTCATGGCAGGGACATCCTCCACCTTCCTGGGCAAAAGCTGGTGATGTACCTTCCACAAGCATGGTGTTTGGTGATGGGGTAGGGGAAGTACATAAATATCAGGGTACAAACAGGACTTGTGCAATGACCCAGAATGTGCCAGCAGCTGACATGGCCCAGCCTGGCAGCTCTGGCCAGGAAGAGCCTGGTATGCTCAGATGGAGCTGGTGGTGCCAGGGCTTTGGAAAAGTCCTTCCTCAGGGAAGGCATGGGCTACTATAGAGGAGAAGTTTTGGAGACAGCTGGAAAGTAAGGGGTTTAGGGAGAAAATCCTTTTTTAATAAAATGATTATGGTTTGGAGCAAGGGAAAAATGATCACACAAAAATACTGTAATATGGGAAACCTAACAACAAAATTCTGGTTCCTGATATGAAACCTCCTTCTGGGCCTGGCTGATGGACCAGAAAAGAGCAGAGGGCAGCTTCTGTGCCCCAAGACAAAGCCGGCAGGGACTGCCTGGTACTCAGCCCTTGGCTGCAGCTTATTGCAGCAAAGCAGAAGCATCCCCAGCTTCCCATGGCCAGGGGCTCCTGGCCTTTTTAAGAGCTGTAGACCCTAAAACCACCAAGTCCCTGACGCAGTATGCTAGGAATCCAGGCAGGGCTTTTCTGAAAAAAGCTGTAGGAGTTGGGATGTTTTCCAATCAAGCACATGAGGCTCAACAAAAGTGTTTTTCACTTTCTGCTCACTGATGCAGATGCCATAGTGTGCAAGGCTTCTACAGGGACTGCAGGCAGGGCTGGAAGGAACGTGCTGCAGAAGAACAAACTCTTGTCACAGGCTGAGCTTCTGGAAGCAAGGAAACGGCAACCAAGCACACTGAAGAGCCTGTGGGGTTGAAGGAATGAAGAATCTAATAAATGAGGATAATGAGGAAATCCTTGCGACTCTGTGTTGCAATCAAAGGGCCAGTTTTTTGAAAGCCCAGGTCAGTTGCCCATACGGATGCAAAGTCCCAGCTGAAACACGGTTGTTGCAATTCTGTGGCTGGTGGGGTGAATTGTAGCCCTCTCTGAAAAATGGGTGCACTTGGACCAGGCCTGTGAAGAACAATCATATTCCTCTGGGACTTCTGCAGGGGCACCAGACACCTGAGCAGAATGACTGAGAAGGGGAATTTTACTTGAATTCAGCGGTGGGGCTTATGGAAAGCTTAGAGAAATTTTGTGAGAGGGCAAAACCTCGTGGATAGGGTATAAATATTAAGACTCATGCAACTCAAAGGGGAGGGAGGAATGAAAAAGCCTCAAAAAGAGCAGACATGCACAGGTAGCCATAAACATTGGAGATCTTAGTCTAGGTCTACTGTCTGAGAGCAGCCTTTCCTGGGGGCAGGGAGGGAGAGAGGACCCATTGCAAGCACCTCTCTGCTCTGCAGGACACCTCCATCTTCTCACTGAAGGTGGGTGTGAAGGTAAAGCATGCAAGCAGCCTCCAACAGAGGAGAGAGACCCTGATGGCACACACACATGCACATGGGTGTGACTTGCTGGCAGGACCCTGACTACTTGAAAGGTTTTGCACTGCAAGGGTTGACTGCCTTTTCAGGTGGACACTGATGTAAAACCCTGGAAGAAGGTGCTGCTTCTGTTGGCAGCTTCTAGAAGTCTTTTGCCAAAACTCTGAGACAATTTTACAATATTCTCAGGTCACCATCTGCCCTGGTTACTCCATGTCTATGCATTCAAGACAAAGGCTCTAACTTTCAGTCTAGTTCCCTACCTAAATTTGTAAAAATTTGTTACTTTTGAGCATCTTCAGGAAGTTACTGGCACTTCTGGGACTTGATCTTAAGAAGTGATGCATTAACCTCTTTTCTTCAGTAACACCTCCATTTCTGCTTTGGCCTCATTAAAAAAGATTCTGAGCTTGTATGAATATTTCACAACCATTTACCACCAGCTGTTACCAGCTCTATTGGCTGTTTCTGGGATCTCCATTGTCAGAGTTTGGAATGCTTTAATACACTGCATATATGCTCAGAGCAGTACAGAAGACAAAGGCAGATTTATTACAAAGAATGCTTGTGTAAATCAGAAATTGAATCTGATAAACGGCATTAGCACAGACAGCTTCTGATTGAGTTGCAGAAGCCCAGAAATCCAACAGGATGGTGCTATTCCAAAAACATCTTGAAGCTCTTACTCCTTTGAAATACCCAACCGGTACAAACAAGCATGTAATTCCCTCACGTGATGTTCCCAGCATAGCATACACAGCTCTGGCACCATGTGAGTAATAAATATGGCATGGAAGAAGACATTGAGAAGCAGTCAAAGTTCCCATTGTCTCTACAGACAAATGCCATCATTTACTACAAGATGGCCTTAGCAGCAGGAATGCCAGGGTCGCATGCAAGGATTGAAATCCAACGGGAAATTCTCACCCAACTCCCAGTGTGTCACTCCTTATTTACAAAACCTAGAGCAAAGATTGCCAAGGGACAGCAGAAAATGTGACAGCCAAGCAGAACTGCTTGATTTGGTGAAATACCTGAGAAAAGTGTTGGAAAGTGCCTTTCTGAGCAGGATGATGGATGTGGGAAGTGGCCAAGCTGGCCCAGGGGCAGATCCTGACACTTCTGCCCTCCAAGTTTGTGTCTCCCTTCCTGGATAGTAAGGGAAAAGATACTGCCCCTTGTCACCACTCAATTGGGATTAGGATTATAAAACATGGAATTATTTGCCCCCAGACTTCACCCTGTCTTTTCATCCAACCTGATGGATCCCACAAACCCAATGCCAATGAAAGTTTACCTGCAGACTTTGTGAAACTAGAAGCACAGCAAGCAAACAAGCCAGCCTCTGTCTCTTCCTTGTGCTGGTCTCACACAGATATGTCTCCCACAGGGGCCTGTTTGTGCCAACAGCTGAGACATCTTGACATCTATTTGTGGAGGGAGCACTTTCCTTCCCCATTCTCCTGCTCAGGCCCTTACTCCTATACAAGAAACTTCAGACTGAAACTCGCAAAAGTCCTCAGAGAGGGAGTAAGCACGAAAACATGGGAAAAAATTAATCTCAATGGAAATCCTTGACTAATTGACAGGTTGGAATAAGAATGACCACAGATCCCAAACTATGCCAGGCAACCAGTCTGCTCCAGGCACTGCAAGCTCACTCAGCCACATGCCTGCCTGTTTTGCTCTGCCAGCTTTACAAGGCCTAATTAGCTCTATTCCTTTTGTTTGTATCACAAAAGCAAATAGCCCTTGGAAAGAGAGGGAACAGAGGAGGCAGCTCCTTGACTGAGTGTAAGAACAGGCTTTAAATAAAGTTTGCCTCTCACCACATGTACTTGAAGTGATGAAAAGGATGAACACAAGAGCCTCAGTGAATGGAAGGGTTTCCAGGCCAGGCAAAAGCAAGCAGGGGGCTCATCCTTGCTGCCCTGGGGATGCATCAGTACAGACTAGAAGAGACCATCCTCAGCTGGAACCACTCTTTTACCTGACCTGCAAAACTTCACATCTGGCCAATCATGCTCCTTATCATAGCTGGGAGAAGCATAATAGCCTGAAGAGGGGTTTTAAAGTAAGACAGAGCCTCCCAGGGCACATCTTTTCATGACCCTGTTAACTCAATTGTCAAGGAATTCCACAGAAAAAAAAACTTCAGAAGTCACATCCAGATCATCTTGTGCGGAAACTGCAGCCTGTACATAGCCTTCCTCAGATAAAGCTAGAAAGCAAAGCACTGCTGCAACACAGAGCAGCCCTCCCAGGAGGGCTGCAGCTCCACACCCCATCCCTTCCCCATTCCTGCAGCTCCCTCTCCCCTCCAAGGGATCCATCTGCCTTCTCCCTGCCCCTTCCTGCTCCACCCAGGGTGCAGCCTGCCTCGCTGAGGAGCAGACCTTCTGGTTCCTGGGCTGCAATCATAGCAGATTACTGGGTGAGTTTGTGCCAGAGGCCACAACTGCCTGACTCACTGAAGAAGATCTGTCCCCACCTACATCTGCTGTAGATACACAGCTAAACAAGCTCCGTCCTGGCAGGCAGGCTCCCAAAAACCCCATTGCCACTCCTGTCTTCCATGTACACTGTCCAAGTTCTGCTCAAAACATAAAAATGAAGCAACGCAGTCTGATTTTCCTTAAAAAAGTTCATTTATTGAAATTGTTTAAACACTTTATACAAGTTCCCAATACAAGCATCTGCTCCCTGGCTCAGGGTTAACGCAAATACACGAGCACAGACCTCAGCAGCTCTGATGTGACCTGAGCTGCCACCCCTTAAGACCAGGTCTCAAGAGGCAGCTCCTGTGCACAGGCAATCAATCCCCCATGGAGAAGTGGAAGCCTCGTGACCCAGCTCAAGTACAGGCCAACATCAGACCAAGCCTGAAGAAAATGCTTTGGTTGGTTTAGTAACTTTGATTTACGTTGCAGAGAGTCAGGTCAAACAGAGGTACAAGGCTTATACGAACCACTAATGCTGTGGTTGTACATGCTCAGCCCTAGAAGCTCTCCCAGTCTACAAAGGAAATCAAGAAACCTGATGCCTCTGAACATGTACACCATCACAAAGCCTGGTCAGAAGCAACCAGCTTTCCTCCTTAGAAAAATCAAGGTTGAGCTTTGGAGAGCTGGTACCATACTTCTAGGAATACGAGACTTAATTCCAGCCAGCCTCACTTGTGTTGGTCAGACACTGGTGACAGACTGGGTGTTTCAGAGGAAGGGGTGGGAACCTTTGAGCTGCATTTTTCATGTAACTTCATATGCAATGATGGCTTTATCTTTAAAATGTGTTTCTTCCTCTTTGGTGAGCTTGGATTTAAAAAAAATGCTATAACCTTTGGGTCAGTTTCCTTGGAATTTGCCTTCATATCACTGAAAATGTTTGCAGGAATAAAGACAGGGTCAAATGGCAGCACATGAGGTATCTGTGGGGAAACATCAAGGAGTGGCAGTGCATTCTGTTTGGTTTAACATTTTTAGCTGCATAAGGCAAACAGATCAGTAACTTGTAACTAAGCCCAAATGGGAACGACTCAAGGGAATAGGAAAGAGCTTGCTAGAAGGCAACCTGTAACAGACAACAGGATACAGATTCGAACTCAGGTAGGTGTTAGGGTGAGAATATCAGAAACAGCCACTGGCAACGCTCAGTGTCTAAGGAACAGCAGCAACAGCCCCACAGAGACACCAGCGAGAGCAGAGGGAAATGTTTCTCTGCCTCTTCCCTGGCACCAGGGAAACCTGCAGCTGCTTTGGGTGTTTGCTACCTGCTGCAGTTGCAGTGTTGCTGCCGCTGGCCCAGACACAATCAGCTTATCAGATCTTGTCAAGAGTGATGACATACAGTTAAGCCAAGCGGCCTTACGCACTACATCTTGGCCAACAGCACATGCATGGACAACTACGATATTTAGTTTAACTCACAGCAATTTAATTCTCTGACCCTTTGTCATGCCAATCTGCACAGAAAAGAAGGTGCTGAATATGATGCCAATACAAAAAAGTACAAAAACATTTTAGATCTCTTCAAACATTCCCACATGTAAAGTCATTTCCCCAGATTATGTTTCCCCTCAAGCTATTGGTTTTCTCTTTGTATATATGCTCCTTTAATTTCTACACACACCACACTGGGCTCTAACTTAATGGGGTATGGGACTGAATTGTTACCATCTATTTAAAAAAAACTAAAAAAGCACCAACATCCATCTAAAAACAGTATCATTTTCCCTTTTACTCCCAAATACTAAACTCAACCCAAGCTTGGAGGCTTCATCTTTCAAGTGGCAATACCTACAAACCTAGGCTTAGCCTTCCTCCACAGGCTGGGAGAGAAAGGAAAAGTTATGTCCAGTAGCAAAGATGATTACAAAAATATACACATTTCTGGGAGAAGAGGAAGGCAGAACCTAGAGTCTGAACTCTGCTCAGGACAGCGGCATTGTAGTGTCCTCTCCGAAACGCTTTTCACTACTAGTGCTGGTGGCTCCTCATCCTCATTCCATTATACGTAATCCTTCCCTGTGGAGGGGGCATTTTTGGGGTAGCCTCGGGTGGGTGGATAGGAAGTTTCTCTCCGCGGGCAGGAGCAGCAGAGGAAGGCTCCCCCCAGCATGGCCAGTGAAGCAGCTGCCCAGCCAATGAAGAGGGCTGATCCAAATTCAAATCTGGGGAGAAACAAGGAAAAGTGTTACAAGTAAGGCCAGGCACATCCACACAAAGTAGAAGGCAGCAGAAATCTATACCAAGTGGCTTCCTGCAAGGGTAAGGTTTGAAGCTTCCTGAGACCCCACTGACTCTGAGGCCCAGAGCTTTGCCCATACCACCCAACCAACCAAGCTCTGCAGACTAGGCCTTAAGTGTTTAGTGGAAAAAAAAAAAACAAAAAAAAAAAACTATAAGACAGCAATTAAATCTATAGTAATAATGCTGCTTTGAGTGCTGGCTTTAAGAGTCACAGGTGACAAGATCTGCTCCTAATGCTTCTTCTGCACAGTAGGAAGCCAACCCAAGTAGCTCAGGAAGTCCCCTTCTGTGTTTGGAGCCACTGCAACCAGAAACTAAGCCTGGTGAACATTTCTCATGCAGTACAAGTAGTGTTAAATCAAATGAGTCTGTACCTTGTGTTAACAGGCGTGAAAGGGTCATAAAAGGCCCGAGCCACTCTGTTGCCATACCATGATGTGGCCACCAATGCTGACAAACCTGCACGTGAAGGGAACACAACGCCATGCCTTATTATTAGGAATAGAGTAAATCAACAAAAGTCACTACAAAAAGCAAGCACATAGCAGAACCAACATCTGAATGACACTGATATGCTGCTACTTTGAGGAGATGCAAGCCTTCCCCTGCACTCACACCCTATGCAGTACAAATCATTTAGGTACTGGCAAATTTTAGTATTAACACATTTGTAAGTTACCAACCTGCAATTATGAAGATGACCCCACCAAAGACAGCCATCCGCATCTTCTTCACCTGGTCATCTTCCATGCACTTCATGCATTTCATGCCAGTCACGGCAACAAATACACCAACGAGGCCCAGGAGTATCGCAGCCACCATCAAAGCTCGTGTGGCCTGCAGACTGCCTAGAAGACAAGACATCAGGACTTGAGTTACCACAAAGAAAACTCAAGGTACAAATAGGAAATTCAAATCCCTGGGTTCAGCAATCACATCTCAAAAACACCGTAATGTGTTGTACAGGATACAGACAGATTTCTTTATAGCTTTAAGCTCCAGGACTGTCATGCATGAGGATCAGAAGACTTTCAACCTCTTCTAAAAATGCATGGCAAACAAGGGCATGCAGCTCTTTGCAGGAAATGACCTGGGAATTGCCTTCAGACATCTTTTGTTCCCTGGTCATTTGAATCCCAATTGGAAGGACATATCTGTTTATCAAAAGGAGTATTCAGATTTAGGTTCCACCTTGACAAAGCATTTAAACATGTTTTAATATGAATAGTACCATACATATGAATAGTCCCACAGCAGGCCACAAACACCCTTTATTGCTCAACACTTCCAAAACCTGTCTTTTATACAAATACCTCAGTGCTGATTTAGATATTTTCATTTACAGTCTTCTGTAGGAGCCCCAGAGGGTTTTAAAAAGTCACAACTGCAAAAGAAACAGGATTTTCCCAGCCAAATTAAAAACTTTTTGCCTGAAATATTTAACTTAAACACAGATAAACAAATGTTTTAAGAGCCTCTTGTGGTTTTTGAAGAATTGGATCAAGGGATGGTGACTTCCCACAGGCAAAGGTTGTCTTAACCCGGGTTCTCAGCAGACAGACTCAATATACTTCCTTATCCAGGATTTGGCTTTATATTAACTCACCACGCTACCCCGATGTACAGTAGCTACTGAATTCAGATTTTCTTGATAACAAAGGAAAAACAATGACAGAAATTAAGCCATTACTGATAAAAACTTTCAGGTGACAAAACACTGTCAGGAAGAGTAAATAGCAGTGAAATGAGCCTGAGCTTTATTGCCTGGCAAATCAGGCTTGTTTGAACAGCACACATTTTAATATGCAGTCCTATAAAGACGTGTGAACAAACAGGACTGGATAATGACGGGAACAAGCTCCCAGGAGCATGCTGTGACCAAGGCAGAAGTGTCCCCTGACACAGAAGATTATCTAGCAGTAAGTGTGCCATGCATAGGCTTAACAAAGTATTGCCAGAATCTACTCCCCAGTCTGAAGCCCAAATTCTGTAGACCTGTGTGTACTTGGAGCTTGAACAACAGCAGTTGCTACCTGACTATGCTTTGCAGGAAAATTCTTCTGAAGCACAACAGCCTACTGACCTCTAGTTCTGCTTTAAACTAAATCTGCACTAGCAGCTAGGCACAACAACTGCATTGTTCTACTAGTTCATTAAAAAAAAAAAAAAAAAAAAGAACAATAATAGAGTAAAAAGGCATTATTTGGAGCAATTAGGAAGTGACACACTTTCTTAAGAAGAGTCTTGGCTTTCTTAGGAAATATCCCACAATCAGCTCAGCCAATTGACATCTCACTTCCTTCAAAGGGGAAGGGTGATACACCTCTGCACCACCCAGCTGTTAGTCAAAGCCCATCTACTGCTTCGATTGCAGAAACCCATTTACAAAGCCATTTGTCACAAGTCACAGCAGCAGTATCCAAACACATTCTTGAACAGATTGCCATCCCCGATGCTGGGAGAGCAGACTAAAACTTCTAGCTTACAGAATTTATGCCAGTTATTCAGAAGTGCTTCTGCTGGTGGGTCACCACCTACTGCCATACATTTAAGGCTAAACTACATTACAGCAGCAGCTCTGGAGAGGCTGATGCCTGAAGACATCAGCTCATCCTTTGCATGGGAAAGTACACATCCTGCAGAGTATGAAATTGTTTCAAGTCTGCAGTAAACCAAGCTTAGTCTTTCTGCAAAAGTTACTCTTCCAAATCTTTTAGTTTCCATGAAGCTAAAAAGCTACAGAATGTTATCTTAAAAGCAACTACAAAATTAACCAAGAGAGAGATCTCCCACCTTCAAACATGGGACAAAGAAGTTTAAGTATGGCTTTATAGTAAAATGTGTGAGAAATTTATATGACCTCAGGAGTCCTACCTATGAAATCAGCTCAAACATTAAATATGCAAGTATTAACTGGATGCATGCCATGACAGCTCTGCAGAAGCAGTTGAACAAAAACAACAACAAAAAAAAAAACATCTTCCTTGAGGTAAGAAAACAGATTGTGAGCTCTTCCCAGAGCCACCCTCTTCCAGCATGGGACCCTGTAGGAACATCCTTGGTGCTCCTCACCCCCCAGTACACAAACCCTCCCCTTATCCATGGAAGAGAACAGCGGCATTTAGAAAACTTGCAACATTAGCAGAACAGACTGTCCCACTATCTCAAGAAGTTTTAAATGTGACACCACTATTAGCCATCCGCCCTCCTCTTCCCCCAGACTGGCTGCCCTGTGCCCTGGGAGGCAGCATGTTTGCCTGTGGTTAATGATAAAACAACTGATTAGTTATTTATTCATTTACAACTGCATTAATGGAAGCTGCAAATATAGAGGATGAGGGAAGTAGTTTAGTATTACAGCACCATGTGAGCAACAAAGCAAAAGTCCCCAGATTACACAAACATGCAGAATTGTCTTAGGCTGCTAAACTGGACATCACAGCAACAGCAGGCAGAAGTACTCTACAGCAATTTAAACGTATAACTATATTCTATTAGAGAAAAACAGATTTTCCTCTGCATTCCTGGCTGCAGCAGCCACCTGAGGAGCAGGACCCAGTGCTGCCATGCAGAGCCTCCCACACCAGACCAAGGCTGCCGCAAAGCCCAGGCTCCAAGGCCCTTGGGACACAGAACAGCCCTGCATCACGCTGGACAAACTGGCTGGACACCTACCAACAGATGTCAACAGTGTTTTGTCAATATTACCCACTATTTACTTAGAAGCCAAGCCTTTTTATTGCTAGTTAGCTGAGACCCGGCCTGAAAATGCCTGTAGCAAGAAAGCAGTTAAGTAAAGAGTCTTGAAACTACTGAGAAAGGTTAATAGCAAACACGAATCCTGCAGGCCATTATAAAATACCATACAAGTCCTTGTAGGTGACATAGCAGCTCTCACTAGTTCCACACAGTGAAACCAACATTTTTAAAATTTGCTAACAAACCTGCTCTGACTTTGGGGATTTGGACACAAACTACATGATGCAGTTTTATCTGAAGCCTAAATAAGATTCCCACTGTCATTACCAGACAATGAAGCAACCGTTTAGTTACAGAAGAGAACTTTATCACCACAAGTTTGGGTTATTTTTGTCATCACATTTCCTTATTTATTCTATCAACTACATGATAGAAAAAAAAAACAATTGGCAAAGTGCCACTGCATTTTTGTAATGCCTATTTGTAATGCAAAATTGCTGTAATGGCTCGGTGTGGAGATTGTTTTCTGATAAGAATGCTCATTGACTGTCTCATTTGCATATTTTATATGGACTTTTCCTTCCTTTCCTATGGGCCTCCATGCAAAGTGATGACAGAAGACAGGTGAAGCATGGATGCTGTACAGCTCCCGCTAATGTGTGTGTGGCAAGTTCCCTGGAGTTACAGGCATCCCCATAGCACAAGGAGCATGTTATACCATCCACCTTGAAGAAAAGTCAGCAGCCTTCAAAGCCTTCCCACTGGGGTTTCATCAGAAAAGCTTCATCTCATTGAAGGAGCAGATCTGAGATCCTGCTGCTCTGCCATAACAGTGTATAAGCACAACTTCTGGGAGGCAGGCAAGGGACTGAAGGTCTGAGCAAGCAGTAAGAGCTTCAGAGGCAATTAGCGAGGCTGACACACTGCAACAGTTCTGGATGGACCTAAAAGCCTGCTGATCGCTTGCAGGTGTTATAAATTTCAAACCCATTACCAGCCCCTGCAAAGACCCAGCACACCCCTCACTGTCAGATATCCCAGCCTGGACTCCTCCAAAGCAGCTCCCCACAAGCCTAAGAGACCACACAAGAGAATCTAGGCAGGATGCAGACTCAAGCAGGGCATGGGAAGGCTGGAGAGCCCCCACTGCACATCCAGAGCAACAAAAACACATTCAGCAAGCAATAGTGGCCTTGTACTCTGCCTGCCCCAAAGCAAGCATGGTTCAGTGCCCTCCTAGAGTCACTCAAACAGCAGAGAAAGCTTATGAGTGAGGCAACACAGCACCACCATTTCCAGATTAGTGGTCAGAGGAGACCTGGGCAGTCTGTTTTTCTACAAAACCTGGAAATTCCCTTGCTGAGAGATTTAGTGAGGGACTAACACTAACCACAAAAGCTGCTTAGCAGAAGCTGCTTGTAGAGCAATAAAGCTAGTGTATTGCAACAGACTCCTGTCCCCTCTACAGAGGCAACACTGCACCGAACAGGAACAGCCTCGGTGGCATTCCAAGTAACCCTCTACCTTGTCAAAGCACAGCACAAATGAGACTGCTTTATCACTCGATCACAATTTTTCATGAGGCAGGGAACAGGGATTGAGAAACACTGGAGCAAATTAACCCTTAACCCACATGAAAGCACACATACTATCAGGTTCTACCTGCTTACTCCAGATGAAGGGGGGGTGACAAGTGATTAGGACACATTTGTCCCTCCTGATAACTGAAAGACCAACCTGCCAACTCCCCCACCATCACAAACAGCAACCTGAGGATGAACCTTCCTCCCTCCCCCTCGGCTCCCCCATCCTTTCCCCAACTCCTGGAACAGGCTCAGCCAGGGTGGTAAAAATGTAGGAGGGAAGATTTCATATTTCCATGATGTTGTTTGACCCAGAGGGCATCCAAACCCTTGTTTATTTTCCAAGCTAGGGCACAAAGACTCATTGTGGATGTACTAGGTTTGGTGATGAAGTAGTAGATGAGTCTCAGCTTGTTCCAAGCACGGAACATCTCCAACCAACACCATCAAGCAGGGCGATGAGTGTCTGCAGGTGAAACAGCCTAAACAGAACCCTGAACAACCCCTGCTTTGAACACAAGTGAATGGTCAGACAGATGGTGCTGAGACCTTCCAAAAGACAGACACCAGGAGCCCCTGACCCTCCTGGCCGGTCCCATTCCCGAGACTCTGGAGGAGCACAAAGCTGAGCTAGCTCCATGGACGATGCTGGAGGGCTACAAGAACAATGCTGAGGCTGGGCAACAAAGCCTGGTTGCAAGGGTGGCTTTTGTGCCTCTATGCCTGCATGTGGCCACGCTTTTTTCCCCCAAGCCAGCAAAACACAGCTTGAATAGGAGCACGTCCCGGCCTGACATAAGCCCTCAGCTGAATGCAGCTGTGGGAGAAGAGCCAGCATGGGTGCACTCCAGCAGCATGGTCACACAGGGAGCCAAAGGCCCCTCAGGTGGCTAACGGTGCCTCTCAGCCTTGTGCCAACCCCATCTTGGACAAGCAGCATCAGCCCAAGCCAAGATGGATGTATCTAACAAAGTGGCAATAGACAATAAATATCCAAGAGCTCACTGGCAAAGTTTTTCACCATTCCCATGGCCATGAATTACTGCAGGTGAGGAGACTCAGCCCTTTCTATGGGGATTGAATCATTGCAGGATCTGTGTGCACCTCTCCTATCTCTGCACAAGGCTCTGACACCTGGCTCAGGGCACGTGAAGCCCTGGCAGAAAGGCACAGCCAGGGAGAAGTTTCCCTACCCTTGTAGCTGTACCAACACAACCTAAACCAAAGCAGTAAGGGAGCTCTTACTGCACAGCTGTACCTGTCCCAGGGCACGGCTGCTGAATTGGGTAAAAGCTGGGGGGTGTCACACCTCCAGCCAAAACAGCATTACTGTCACTGCTCAAGCCTTTGTGGCTCCACAAAGACCTTGAGGGGAGGACAGGCTGGGAAAATGCAGAGGTGTATATCAGGAGGCATGAGTGCCTTGAATTGGAAAGGGCACAGCCTGATGAAGCAGGGGTGCCAAAAGCAAAAGGAGCATTTAAAAACTTTTGCTGACTTTCCCAAGCAAGCATCCCCTGCTACTTCCATATTTCTTCTGGGAATTTTCAGCCCCCTGTAGGGCCAAGGGCTCCATAAGGGGATAAAAGGCCATTAACAGCTCAGCCTCAGTCCCCAGCACCTCACACCTCCCCTGTAGCCTTGGAGGAGCCTTCATTGTCCGCAGAACAAAGGTGAAGGCAGCAGCTGCTATTGAGCACTCAGCCCTCAATGGGGCAGGTCTGGAGGTCCTCAGGCAGGTTTTCGGGAGCCGGGCAAGGCTTGGGTCTGGTTCTACAGGCAGGTTTCATTTACAGCACAATGGGCTGCAGCCACAGCCCCCCAGGCGAGTTTACCTTTCGCAACTGATCCAGGGGGTGGCTGGAGATTCCTCAGCCCTACTGGCATCTTGGCCCCCCACCCCTAGGGAGAGATAAAAGGCTGGAAGCTGAGCTTACACATAATTACCACTCCACCACCCCAGAGCCTGTGCTCAGCCCAGCCCTGATTATCCACAGCCCCGCACCCTGTCGGTGTGAAATGGGCGCACCGAGCTCCCGAGGGAGTAATTTGCACCTCCAGCCGCTGCTGCAGGGCCCACGGGGGTTGAACGGGAGGGACCGATGTGGGATAGCAGTGCAGGTGGGGCCAGGGTGTCAGCTCCACTCTAACACTGGGAAAGGAAAGGCTGGTGACAATCGGCCTTGGGGACACTCCCAATGGTCCCTCTGTGGAGTATGCGAAACTGCATGCTCGTTCCTTTGGGAAAGAAGGTGACCAAGCTGATAATTACTATTTTATTAATTAGGGAGGGAGAAGGCTGATGTTCCAGGACACACTGACCTCACTGGTGTGTCCTTACTGGACAGGGAATGAAGGAAGGAAGATTGGTAAAGGACTTAATTTTTTTTTTTTAACCCTTTTGTAAGTTATGGTGTGAGCAAGTGCTGTAGCACTGCAAGTGCTGGAGCCAGCCGAGATGGGGGCAGCTCAGTGCAGACCCCCAGGTATTGCCCCAACAGCAGGGCGCTGCTCCTGTTTCACCACCTCTGGATGGGAGCAGAGCCTCTGCGATCACCTGAGTGGGCCAACCTGCCTAAAATGTGCCGGGCTGGAGCCCAGCTCACCTGCCAGCCCTTTGCTTGAAGAAATAATAATAATAAAAGAAATATCACAGGAGTAGAAGTGGCTTTCCCAGAGAACAAAATTATTCCGTACAGGAGTGCAGCAAAACCTAACAGTCAAACGCCAAAAAAAAAAAAAAATACAAAATTTAAAAATAAAATTAAAAAAAAAAAAATAAAAGGATCCGTGCCGAAAAGACAACTTCAGCGCTGTTTTCTCGAGCTTTGCTCGCTGCTGAGCCATACCTGAACAAAGACAGCCCCTGCCTGAGTGCCTTCCTAAAGCTCTTGCAGTCACGACGCTTCCCCAGACACGCGTAGAGGACCCGATATCTCCCCCAACACTTCCCCGAAGTTTTTTGGGGGCTGCGGGACGGTCCCGGCTCCCCCCCGGTGCTTTCCCCACCGGTGCCGGGCGCTGCGGAGCCCCGACGGGGAGGGCAGCGGGGATGGAGGGGTTCCTCGGCGGGCTAGGACACCCCCAATCCCAACCGTCACCCCCCCCAAGGGACAGGTGGGGATGTGGGGGGGCTTCAACAGGGCAGAGACACCTTGAGACCAGCGAGGTCGAGAACCGGCGGCAACGGGAGCCGAAGGGGCGAACCCGACGGAACCCCACAGGGCGAACAGAGGGTGGGGGCACCCGACGGGACTGGGGTCCCCGGTCCCACCGCTTCAACTCGAGCCTCGACAAAACCAGCAAGGGCTTAAAGTGGGGAAAAACGACCCGATGGGAGCGGCACCCTCATCCCCTACAGGAGGGGCATGGGGGTACCGGGGGTTACCCCGACGGGACGGGCACCCCGCGGCTCCTAAACACCAAAACCCCGACGGGACGCGGCCGAGCAGCCCCCGTACCCCCGCCCCGACTTACTCTCCAGCTTGAGCAGCGAGTCGTACACCTTGCACTGGATCTGCCCCGTGCTCTGCATGGCGCACGACATCCACAGCCCCTCGTAGAGCGCCTGGGCCGTCACGATATTGTCCCCCGCGTAGGATGCCATCTTCCACTGGGGCATGGCGGTGCTGATGATGATGCCGATCCAGCCCAGGAAAGCCAGCACGAAGCCCAGGAGCTGCAGACCCCCGCTGGCCATGTCTACGCGGGGCTGCTCCGCACCTGCGGAGGGTGACAGCGGAGGGGGGGGGGGACACACACAGGAGAGCGCAGCCGGCTCCGCGCAGCGCACTGGCACCCGCGCAGCGCCCCGCGCAACTTTTAAAGCCACGCAAAAAGCGCCCCCTGGCGGCCCCGCCCCGGCCCGGCGTGGGACACCTCGGCCACCCCCCCCCACCCCCCCCCAGGGGTGCGCTGGTTGTGTTCGTGGGGGTCCCCATCGCTTACTGCTGGGGGTCCCCGAGGGTTGAAGCCGCCTCCGGTGCCCTCCACAGTCGGGTGGTTTTGGTGGAGAATGGGGCAGGGGGAGGTGGGCTGTGCGGCTTGCCCCACTCGTGTCCCATCCCTGCGACACCCCAGTGCTGCCAACGTGATGTAAGGGTGGGGGGAATTTCCCACCGGGGTCACAGCACGCGTGGGAATAAACTGCTGTGGGGGAAGCACTGGAAATTCTCTGATTTTAAAGGGTTTTCCAGGAGGCAACTGACCAAACCCTTGTCATCTGGGTACAAATGCTGCCAAGACCCTCAACGTAAAGTTTGGGATCTGCCATCTCAGTGGGGACCATGTGCTGTGCCTCTTGGCATTACTGGGTCTCTCCTAAAGCAGAAATTTCACTTTTTGAACGCCTCAGTGAGCCCAGTGGCTTAAAAAGGTTTATTGAACAAGGGGATTACAGACCAGGAAGGAGTGTCCTCTTTCTCAAGCATGTATTTGTCTGGCTGCTAGAGTTTCCCTTTCTCCTACATGAGTATTTGAATATGATCGCTCCGTACTGAGAACAGGTGGGGTGAGGAAATAGTGTCTCCTTCGGAGAGGAGCACATGGCGGGGCTGGGTGGTGCTGCCTGCCTTTAACCCTGGGCTGGACGGAGGGCCCGTTCAGCCTGGACCTGCTGTAATTCGGGGCTGTGAAATAAACAGGTGATAATTACCGATAAAGGTCCCTGCTGGAGGTGGGGATGGGGTTGTATTGTTTTGACACCGTGGTTTTAGTGCGTTCTGATGACTTAGGAGATTTTGCTGGAGCTGCTTCCTGGGGTTTGCAAACAGACAAACAAACAGGCTCGTGATTACCTGACCAGTACTGCGCAACGACGGGGGGGTCAAAGGGGAGAAAAGCTACTGCAATCTGACCGCACCGGGCAGGGACAAAGCCAGGCTGGCTTGCTCTCAAAGCACTTGCAGCTGCCGGTCCCCGGCTTCCACGCAGCAGCAGCACTGCTGTGATGAAATCGAGCCTCGTTACTCGGTAGCAAACTTTTCCAGTCCTGTCGTTTTTCACTCGCAAAGGAATTAGGCAGCTATGAATCTGTAGCTGAAGGAATGATGTTTTTCTGGGTCTCTGTGGGCCCCGGTTTTGTAGGTATGGGAGTGAAGAAGAGGGAAGCAGCAAAGTTTTCTTTGGCAAAGAAGAGAGAACAAAGTAGCTGCATCACTCTGCACGTTCATCAAAACCCTGCTACGTGGAGCAGAAAACCCAGGGTGGTGCTGGCTCGTGGAGCTGCTCCCTGGGAGAAGCAGCCCCTTGCCTGATGAAGAGTCACGGCAGAAACCCACGCTACCCTGAGGAGAGCAGGGTTACAAGTGTCTGGACCTGATCATTGATGTCTGGGTAGTCATATCAGCCTGATAACGTCCGTCTGCAAAGGAGTGTTCAGTGCTCCTGGGTGCTTCACGGCCCTGAACTGACTCACCCCTCTCCTGACCATCCTGCCACCTCCCTGCTGACTCCTACAGCACGAGGGCAGTTCTGGACAGGGAGATAAGTTCCAGAGATGCTTTAAACAGCTTAAGAACCTTTGGCTACAGGCTCCAAGCAGCTGGTAGGAAGTTTTGTGGGGGAAGGACTTGGAGTTTCTATTGGAGCTTATAGGAACACAAGGGGAGGATTCCTGGGTGGCAACAATCAGCCTGCACTTGCACCAGGAGGGACAGTGTGCATACAGGCATGGGCTTCGTCAGGTAGCACTCTGACCGTGCTGCTGCCTCCTTGAAGGACTGCAATCTGTGCCCACCCTGTACTTGGGAAAAGCTGGGCTCAGTGTGTGTCCTGATGGTACTTTTGGGCCACTTTGTGCCAAACCTGCCTGTAGCATGAGCCTGACTGCTTGGACGTACAGTAGGACACCATGAGTCCTCATTCTTTTCCCCTTCCAGAAGCCCACAGAGCTTAGATTGAAGACAGCCTTACTCTGCGAGGGGGGCTGTGGGTGTTAGAGCCTGCAGCTGCCTGGAGGTGGATGCCTGAGGGGCTGTGCCATTGCACCTCCATCCCCAACAGGTGCTGCACTGGACAGTGCTACTGGGTGAATGCATGACAGAGTTGGGTCAAAAAAAAGCTGACGTAAAGCCATGCTGAGGTATAGCCATGTGCGCTTGGCCTCCTGATTTACAGTTTGCTTTCCAGGGTCAATCTGAAGTTGATACTTCTTAGTCACATTTCGTGAATGATTTCAAAACCCAGCAACTCTTTCTGTGGACATCACAAGGAATTTACAGATCAAGATAAAGCATTGAAACTGTGCATTTCCCCTTCATCACTCATCAGTGTTCTCAGCACTCTGGAATTTGCTGAGAATTTTACAGCATTGCTAAAATCATCAGGTCTTCTCTCCTGGCCTTCCCTTCTTTGTTTGAGGCATTAGATATCTTCTTTCTTCCTTTTCTTCAAATGATTTTCTGCAGTGATTCAATGGGCAAAATATACATCCTCTTTACTCAGTAGTCACTGTCTTTCCTCCTCTGCCTAAGATTATTTTTTTTTTCACTGAAAGTCCCTAAGAGTTTTCACATGCTAGCACCATTTTTTTTTTCTACCTGGCTTCTAAGGAAATACCATGCCTTCACATCCTTAATCTCAGCTGAAATACCTGGTTTTATCCAAGATGTTGCAATATCCTCTGTATTCTCTAGGCAAGAGGTATTTCTGCACTGACGGTCTTTAGTGACTGATCTTTTCTTAGATAAACAGGTGAGTCTTCATTCTTTACAAAAGCAGCATCAAGTGAGAAGATGCTAAGGTGCATGTATATAGCTACTGAGATCCAACTGCAAAGTTTTAGTCTGCGAGTAGACAGACTGCACTAATTGTTCATAGAGATTTAGAGATTTTCCTCCTGCTACATAGATGCTGTGTTGTTCTGCGCTGAGCAAATGCTTAACGCCGTGGTCATGTTTTGTTCCCTTGGGTGGTGTCAGGCAGAGGAGCAGCCTCACATTCATGCTCAGCAGAGATTTGTGCTCTGTGGGTAGTTAATGATACCCATTTCCTCTGCTGGCAAAAACAAGTTTTAACGCTTGCCAGGACTTGCAGGTGAGAAGCCTGGCTTCCTTTTCTGTGAGATGCTTCTCGGGGAAGGACTTGCAGGTGTGCAGAGCAGGCACAGACCAGGTTTCAGAGCAAAGACATGAGCTCCACATCTGGATCAGAAACTGGGAATGACCAGACATCAGCCTTTATCTGGTGACAGCCAGTGGCAGGGCCAGGGAACAGCACAAACACATAGTGACCCTTCTCCAGAATGTGCTGCAGCCAGCCTTGATCCACATCTCAATGTATCCCGAGCCATTGCTGGTACTTTTAATTTTAGCTGTGATCACTGGAATTTTTTCTCTATAAATTTGGCTGTTTAATTTTTGAAATTTCTGGCCTCTACAGCATCCTGCAGCATGGGGTTTCACAGATTAATTCTTTGTTTCATAAGGAAAGTACAACACTTTGTTTATTTTTAATCCTAACTTGATGTTTCATTAGTTGTCCCCAAGTTTCTGGGAAAAAGGGGGAAGACTGGTGGGACCACATGCATTTAGTTTGGGTTCACATTGCCTAGAAAAACCTCCAGCATACTTTGCAGTACGTCTGCAGGCAGCTTTTTCTCCTCTCTCTCCCCACCACTCCCCCATCCACCCATCCACCCAGGAGGAACAACCCTGCTGAACCCTAGCTCCAAGCACTGTTTTGCAGCCAGCACTGCTGTGTTGTCTTTGCCCAGATGTCAGGAGGATCAGAGGCTGCTGCAAACCTTCCCTGGGATTAGTCAGGGATTGTGTGAGAATGCGTCCAACCCAGTCTGCAGTGAGGGGCAGACGTCGTGTTCGACCATAGGGGCAGCTGGAGCAGCCAAAGATCACAGCTAGCAGGGCTGGAGAGCACAGCAGCACACACACACACAAAAGCTTAACCCTTCATCAGCTGCTCACTATTGCAGGACCACAAACTCAATACAAAGTTTTAAGGAAGGTCATTGGAGAAGACCAGCTCCAAATGACTCACTGCCTAAAAAGCAACAGGATAGCAACCAGCACCAAAATTGGAGCTTTTCCCTGCACACCCAAGATGAAATTTCCATTTCCAGTAGGAAAGCTCAGATTCCCTCTTTGGAATTAAAATATGCAGTTGATGAAGGAAGAGTCAGGTGGATTGGCTGTACTTCTTTGACACTGACTACCAAGGGGGAATGTATTGTGAAAATTGGATTTGAAATGGGCTGCAGGAATTACTCCTTTTCAAATTCTGAGGGTCAGAAACAGCCTAAACCACCCAGTGTTTGGTCAGCAGACACGACCTGGAATTTCTAATCTGCTAGAGATAAACCAAGCTAATAATCAACCCTCTCCTCGCAGTCATTCAAACATTTGTGTTTCCTCACTGGCTGTAATAAAGCTGCAGTTTTGGGAGTAGTTTCACTCTGCTCTTCACATGATTGATTTCATCTGGCTCTGGTTAAAATGTGCTTATATGCCACGTACTGAGGTTGCAGGAGGCTGGAGGCTGTTTGATCGCTGGCTTCTTCTCCAAACCACCCTCTGGTGAGGGCTCTGGATGGGATCGTGCCTGTTCCCGGTCTTGGTTTTCACCTGTTGCCGTTGTTTTTCCTCTTCTCCTGAATCAGCAACCCACAAATGACCACAAGGCCTGAGAATGTTCCTCAGAAAGCCCCAAAACACTGAAATCATTCCCATCTGTAAACAAGTGGTTTTGGCATGTATAAAGCTGCATCGTGTCTGTCGTTACCCGCAGTGCTCAGCTCGTAGGGCTTGTCTGTGCAGGGCAGCAAGCTGCTGAGACACAGACGTGGTCCTGCACC